GAAATACGTACATTTATACAGCATATAGCGCAACAGTACAAACCAACTAATCACATACATCTAAATATATTTTCATCGCATCTTGCATATATCTAGATACATTTGTACGTTTGAGGTGTCTATGGGTGCAGTTGTAGGTTTCGTATATTGAAGCTTCTTTGGTAAACAGACTTTTATGTGACAGAGTCAAAATGCTATGTAACGGATGTTGACTTCATGTACTGGTCTTATGAATTTCACTTTATTGTATATAGTCAACGCCAAACAAAGTGGCGTGCACGTCATCACGATAAAAATTCCCCGACCTAATGCCTAGGTTTCTATCACAAACAATTGCTCTATTGCAGTTTCATATTAATGTGATATATAAATTGTAAAGTGGTCATTACTCTCTTATTATGGTTAATAGTCATATAAACATTGTTATTAAAATATCACATAAGTTGCTTTCTGATAAATTTAGACGCATTATGCGAAATAAAATGTTTTGCAAACGCTCCAATCACTTATCGACATGTAAACGCACTAAACCGATTTCGCAGCGTTGACACATTGTCACCTTGAAACTTATTTAAACTGGGAACTGAAATTTGTATTAATTTTGACACTGAATCAATTTGTGGCATTTCAAATCTTTATAAATCCTTTGGCCCCGCATACTGTAAATCAACAACTGTTTGTTTCAAAACAAAATTATTCATTTTACGAGTAGATAAAGGCAATTTTGGTATATAAAGATGCCCAAACAGTTAAATAGTCGGTGTAAGGAACTCGTGGCCTCGTTAATGCACTACTTTGAGCAAGAAAGGGACAACAACGGGCCTTTGTTGCCTTTAAATGCTGTTCAAGAGGTAGGTTACTAATAATTATATGTAATGTATATTAATAATAGTGAAATTTTATTTCATTTTTTGTAGCGTGTTGCTGCTGCTTTAAAAATTAGTTTAAGGACAGTTAGTCGTATTTCCGAGGGTGTGAAAAGTGATGCAAATTTAGAATCGCCCAAGAAAAAGCGGAGTTATATTAAACGTGTAACCAACACAGCGACATTGGATACAAGTGCCATTCGAGAAGTGATCTATAATATGTATCACAAAAGTAAGATCTTATTATAATAACTTATCTTAAATTTGCATTAATTTGTTAACTAAATTATAATGTCATATTACACATGGTTTCAGGAGAACAAGTTACGATACAAACTTTATGGTCTCGATTAAGAGATAGGGCATTATTTGATGGTAGTGCCACGTCTTTAAGGCGGTTGCTTAGAGATCTTGGATTTAAGTGGCTTAAGGACAATCCGCGACGAGGGCTCATGGAACTACCAAGTATAGCTTTGAAAAGGGTGGAATTGCTAAGGCAATACAATCAAGCCAAGGTTGAGGCCTTATACCATTTTGTCTTCCTCGATGAAACTTGGATATTTCAAAATGGGACCATAGGTCGCTCTTGGCAAAATGGAAACCAAAAAAGCGTGAAAGCTATTAAAACAGATGGTAAAAAACTTTTACACAATTTGCACTATAAAATTTAAAACTAATATATTTTAGATACATTATATTACATGCTGGAAATGAAAATGGGTTTATTGAGGGTAGTGAAGCGATATTTTCTTCGAAAACAAAATTGAGCGATTACCATGGAGAGATGAACCAGGACAAATTTTTGAAATGGTTTCAACATCAGTTATTAGAAAAATTGGAGAGTCCATCTATGATTATACTGGATAACGCCCCTTATCACAGCATGATATTGAACAAAGTGCCCAACAATGCATGGACAAAAAAAAATATCCAAGACTGGTTGACAAATCAAAACATACCATTTTTAAACACAATGTTTAAAACAGAGCTATTGAGTATTGTTGCTCGGTACATAATGCTTCTTAATTATATAGTATATTTTGGTCGACAGTTTATATTTCTTTTGTTTATTCCTATTCTTAAAATAACTGCTTTTTTAGAAACAAACCACCTAAAATATACGTGATTGATGAATTGGCGGAACAACATGGGCACAAAGTTCTTCGTCTGCCTCCTTACCATTGTATATTTAACCCTATTGAGTTAATTTGGGGCATAGCAAAAGGTTACTATAACAGACATATTGGTAGAGATGGTAACAGTGAAAAAGACTGTTTGGATATGTGGAACGAGGCTCTACAAACGGTTACCCCAGACATGAGGAAAAATAGTGTTCGACATACTGAGCAAGAAATTTTTAAATGGTATGAAAGAGAACGAATTTTTGATCGACCAGACATCGAACCTTTAATAATCAACTTTGAGAGTGATGAAGATTCAGATTCAGACAGCGCTGAAGAAAGAAACTCCGACTAACTTTATTGTACAGAAAAAGCTTACACCAGTAGCTTACCTAATTTTAGAATGCATTTTTCTGTATGAATTCTGTAAAATAAATACCATGCATAAAATTTGGAGGACCCCATTTGGATTTTTATTCAGTACCTTTAAGCTATCAATTAAATATGGTAGTTTCATAGTGTCATGATCAATAATTGTCATACTTAATGATTATGCAAGTACAGATCTATAATTTTATTATACTATTATTTTTGTTCTCATTTGAGGTTAATATTGCTTATAAACCTAGATATGTAAATAATAAATTTTATTATTTTACAAAAAGTTTGGCAACAATGTAAATTTTTCAACACACCCACCTTGATGACGTGCACGCCACTTTGTTTGGCGTTGACTATAAGTAAGGCGGGTTATTGGTGTACAGAATCCTATGGCAAAAGCATAATGTAGCTACCTCGAAAAGGTGTTTCATATTTAGCCAATGCCAGGGTTTTAATGTATGGCTAACTTCTCATATTTGGGTATACCAAAGATAAAACGTATACAAGTGGTCTGAGCTCGCTGTAGTCGAGTAGATTCGTGGTCTAAGCAAGGGGAGTAAACAAGAATAGCATATGAGAATCGTGATAATATCAGATATGTACAAACCAATCTTTCAGTTGCACATGTAAGATGGGTTTTATGGGGATGCACTATATAAGTTTCAAGAAAATGTAAGCCGTTTGAATAAATTTGTCAATATGTTGTTTTAATCGCAAGTAATTTCCAATATATGAGTCCTAGATTTTTAGCGGGGTTTTCAATTTTTATTTTTATAGATACACTAACCATTATATCATTATGATTCCTTCCGAATAAAGCAACAGAATATTTATTAAGATTTAACAGAAGTTTGTGATCTACAGATAAATTTATTAAGGTTTTCAAGTCTTTGTTTATTCTATCTTGAGCTTCAACCCAGTTTATATCAGGAAATGTGATGTACAACTAAGTGGCATCAATCCAATTTTTAAAAACTCAAATGCAATCATTTTGCACACACACAATAATTAATAAAATCATTAAATAGCCTTATCGTGTTACCCGTTCAATTTACGAACTTTCTTTTTCATGTAATTTTGAGTTGAATGTGATTTTATAAAAAGTCACATAACTAAAAATTTTGTAATTTAACCTCCCCAAAAGTTTATACCATAATAAAGCTTATAAAAAGTGCAACCCAAGACCGTAACGTATACAGGGTGTACTATTTGATGTTTTGCGTTTATAAATAGCCTGAATCGATGATCAAAAAAACTCTATATATGAAAGTGACTGACTTGCAGGCTGTCAAAGTTGCGTGTTTTGCATCTAGAGTGGTGATCCAAATCCTATACTATGACATATGAAACTTCATTATTATAGGATTTTCAAAATATACTAAATGCATAATTAAATTACCAGGTTGTATCACTCTGTAAAGAGCGGCATATTTTTCAAGGAGCGTATAACTTCTTTGGATATATTTTAAGACAACGGAGCTATCGACCAATTACACACTAAAAACTCACCCTGTAGAATGGCCAAAGATTATCGGACATACTTAACATATTTAACGGCCCCTGTAACCATCATGTATGTATTGAGGTACGCAGACATCACAGGATGTTTAGATTTCCGCATAGATAACAACTGATGAAATATTAATGATTTCGGATAATTTACAATGATATAAAGGCTATCTAATTTACATTTTTCATTATACAAATCACTTGCGTATCTGAAGCAGAGGCCCAGTGACAGATGCGCAGATAATATGGTTTTTATCAGCAACATTTTAGATTATGTGGTACTTCAGAATTTATGCATCAAATGTATTATCAGTAATGCGTAATCTACATGAAAGGTATGAATGGCAGCGCACCTTCAAAGATCAAGAAACTTAAATTTCCGCGAGGGCGGTTTACAGTAACAGTAACATACGACAAAAAAGTGACAGTCATCTCTAACTGAAAATGTGAGAATATAAACCTTCTGTGACTCAAAATTGTACCATATCTTATCTTTGCATTGCCTGCATTAAACTGAAGACAATCTGAAATCTGACCTATCAGTGACACTTTCTTAACAAAAAGCCTCTGTTAAGCTCACCCACCGTACTTCTCGCGCCATCTAGTGAGCGGCGCTTCAACGCATCAACCGTTTGCTACTGGCCAGGCGGTTACCCTACGTTACCGACCGGGCGAAAAATCTACAGGTTTTTTTGTTACCAACCGGTGACGCAAGAAGAAGAGGGGATGATGGTGCCATGAGAGACAGACATTGTTGTTCACGTATATACAAAGTATTGTACCCTACATTTTCTGTTATAAACCTTCGTAAAGCGAAGAACGTATAGTTATTTCATCGGTAAACCCTCCGAGTGAGTGCTTTACACGTTGGTCCTTCGAGCCACGATCAGTAACGTAAGAAAACGACGAAGTAAAGAAGCCACGCCACACCACGACCACGAAGCCACGCCACGACACGACCACGAAGCCACGCCACGACCACGAAAGCTAAAAGTATTGAAACCAGATGATTGAGTCAGAAATACCTGCTGTAAGTCTGTTCCTTATCACTTCCTTGTCTCGTTGATTCAAAATCAGGTCAATCAGTAGTGCAATCAATCAGTCATATCGTCTAGTTGAAAAAATGATCGATCCAGCTATGGATTCCGATTCCACAAGTGAAACTGCACAGCAGTTACGGCAGCTGCTCATCAAGCGAAGACAAATAAGGGTTCACTAACGCGTTTTATAACGTATCTAGAAAACTTGATAAAAGTGAAATAATTCAATTAGAGGCGCGTTTAGAGCAGGCCACGGGATTGTTAGACAATTTCAATACAGTACAAGATGAAATAGAGATTCTCAGTGAAACTGAGTTAAGTTCAAGTGAGAGAGCCACCTTTGAAGACAGGTATTACAGCGCAATAGAGAATGCACACAGATACACAAAAGCGAGCAAGCAAATAAACACAGAACCTTCATCAAACGTGGGCCTCTCACATCACCAGTTGCATTCTGTCTCAAATACAAGATTTCCAAATATTGAGTTGCCAAAGTTTCATGGTGAATATGAAAAATGGGGTCAGTTCAGGGATATGTTTTTGGCCTTAGTTGACAGAGATCCTACGTTAGATAATGTCAAAAAATTCTATTATCTGATGAGCTGTTTAAAAGGAGAAGCCGCAAGAGTAATCGAAAACATGGAAGTCACAGGAGAGAATTATGATCATGCATGGCAGTTATTAAAATCTCGATATGAAAATAGTACAGTTATCATAAAGAATCATGTTCGAGAATTAGTTGAAATGCCATCGGTAACTAGAGATCCTCACTCCCTTAGAAAATTAACAGATGACCTTCAAAAGCATTTGAGGTCATTAACTTCCTTAGGCGAGCCTGTGACACAGTGGAGTACTTTGCTAATTTATTTAATCACAAAAAAACTCGATCCTTCATCGGAAAAGTCGTGGGAGGAGCACGTAATCTCACGTCAAATTGAATCGCCTGGTATAGATGATTTAATCAAATTTTTAAATGCTCGGTGTCAATTGCTTGAGGCCATATCGCGTGAAAAATCTGATAATCCACAGGCAGAGCACAGAATACATCGGTTAACCACAAGAAACCTGTAAGCTTGAATAGAACATTTTCGGGCGCAGCAATCGAAGCATCATGTGTGTATTGTAACGGTCAGCACGCGATTTACTTGTGCGATAAATTCAAAGCATTACCAGCCGCATCTTTGCGCCAAGAAATTCAAAAATTAAACTTATGTTGGAACTGCCTCCGACAAGGCCACCAGAAGGGTGAATGCCGTTCACGGGGGTGTAAGCGATGTGGCGCCAGACACAACACGCTGTTGCATGAATCATCTCATCACAATGCGGTCCCTGCATCGACGTCGTCTGCTACAGGGTCGGCACTGCTCGCGAGTTCTGAATCAGCGGCTACCAGTGGCGTAGCAATCGCTAAGGGTTCGAGTAGCGCAGTACAAAAAAATGATGATCAGTCGACAGGGTTGCTTGCGGGTAGCTGTGTGGACCTCAAAAACAGAGTTTTATTATCCACGGCGATAATTTTACTCAAAGATGCGGAAGGGCGATGGCACGAATGTCGCGCTTTACTTGATAGCGGATCGCAACCGAACTTCATCACGAAACGCACGGTGGAATTGTTGAAATTAAAGCCTATGAATAGTAGAATACCGTATTAGGGTGTAGGCAGTTCTGTTCCAAAGGCATGTCAAGTGGTATCTACAGAGATAAGGTCTACCTGCACGACGTTTTCTACAAAGCAAACGTTGTTAGTGTTGGAAAAAATACCGAGAATCAGCGAGCGTATCTTTCGCCCCAGAAAACTTGCGTATACCGTCCAGCGTACAGTTGGCGGACCCACGTTACCATAAATCGTCAGAAATCAATGTTCTCTTGGGAGCAGGATTGTACTTAGAACTATTGTGTTCTGGTCAGATCCAATTAGGGCCAGGACTACCCGTTTTGCATAACACGGTATTAGGCTGGATTATATCGGGGAAACTTGAGCAGGAACAATCCGATAGTACGGTAGTGTGCAATCTCGCCGTTAGCACGAGACTTGAAAGCCAGATCGAAAAATTTTGGCTCGTAGAAGAAGTCTCTAGACACAAACAGAAATACCCGAGCACGATGAATGCGAGACTTTATTCAGAAAAACAACGCGACGCGATGAACGCGGACATTTTGTTGTCACCTTACCAATAAAAAACAATGTAACACAACTGGATTGCAACTTACATAACGCGATAACTCGATTACATGCAATGGAGCGAAAATTCAGCAAAAATCCATCATTTCGAGAAGAATATGTCGCGTTCATGAAAGAATACGT